CAGCTCTGACATTATACTGTCCATCCCGCCTCCTGACCATTTTTTATCTATTTATTTTTTGCGTTGCTATGTGAATTGACAGGTCGGTTCGTTGCTATGGGCCATGTGCATGTGTTTTTTAGTAGAGAGTCGAGTTGAGTTTGGAGTATCGCGAGCGAATAAAGTAATTAAAATATATATATCGAATCAGCCGCGTTCATTTGTCGTTCGACATTGGCATATACTAAAATGTTATATCGCTATATCAGTTCAATCAAAATACTCATCATAAATATAATAGAGGGACTAGCTACACTGACATAGACTTTCAACATATGTTTGTTCGTAAATAAGACAGTTTTCTATTTCTTGCTGACTCTCTTTCATCAAACACAAATCCAAACTTTTCGTTCATTCAAACTTCTTCGTCATATCTCTTGAGCATGTGGAATAAAAGGATGCTTAGGGATCAATTTCGACTGTGCTAATCCTACATGAGGCAGTTAACCACTTGTGTGTGCCATCTTGGTCATTTGGATACCCCTTGATACCTCGGTAGAGAATAAGCGTGTCAAAACACACGTGGTAGGGTACTTAAACACGTGTGTTTGGATATCCAAACACACATGTAAGGAAATCCAAACACGTACAGACATACATACAAACATACACTTTAATTAGCATCCCTAAAAAGGGATTTTCAGCATTAATATTAACAAGAAAATCAAATAGATGAATGTATTATTCGTGTTTACGCGTGTTTGGATATCAGTTAGCCACTTCTTGAACGAACTTTAGTTAGCCACTTCTCGAACGAACTTTGAAGGGCAGAAGTTTATAAAAAGGCTGTCCAGGATTTCAAACTTTTCAAGACGTTCTGCAAAGTGAACATCATACTCCTTGAATACACTTTTCCATCAGTGTCTCTAAACACTCGAAAACAATAAAATAAAGAGGCCGAATCAGTCGCCCTCGTTTATGGAATATTACACAACATACAAAGCTTGAAATAGTTTCAAATACAGCGATAAAACCAGCAACTTTAGATTCACTTATTGGACAGTTTGGTTAAACTGAATGTCCAAATACCAAAAGCAGGGTTTTCACATTGGCCAATCAGAGTAAACGTTACATCATTATTAGTTAGCCAGTGACAACTCAAAGTAAGACTGTTTGAAGCGCGGGAAAATGCTGGTGAGCCAGTCGAAATTGGTTTCAGTTGTGCATCTAATTGGTAATTAAGAGGATGGCGTTTGACGTGAGTTTCTGGACCAATTACAGGACGGAGTAAGTCAAAACAAAAGCAATCGCAGATTTTCATATTAGAATTGGTTATTACTCGGTAATATCGTGCACCCTCCCTTAAAAATGTCTCTTCCGTTTGCACTCATTAGCTACTAGGGACTAAAAACCTCATTCCATCAGTGATGATTTCAGAGAGAATCGAATGATTGAATAAAATCTCGCATTCTGATTTGTTGACGACGCGAGGTATTTGGCGTGGAAATGCGAGTTGAAAACGAGGTTAAGTGATATTGTTTCGCATCTCTTGTTTCGCGCTCAGGATGAAAACATACAATATTATTGCTGTTTTTTCCCCCTTAATTTTATTCAATTGTGCGATTCAAGGAAAATCCATTACAAGATTCGTGAATTCGGCGTTAAATTGCAATTGAAAACCGATATCGCACTTATCGACTCATCGCTTCGCGACTCAAGCAAGTGCAATTTAACGTGGAATTCCCTCGTCAGGCAATGCATTTTTCTATAGAATTCCTCTCTCCAAAGTGTTGATTCTCGA